GATTTCGAGACCGATTTGCCGATCGTTCCCGTCACGGAGACAAGCAAAACCTTGGACGCCCTGCTGCGTCTGTGCTACCCCACCGCAGATCCGGTCTTCCACGGCGCATCAGAGGTCGTGAACGTACTGGAGGCAGTGAAAAAGTACCATATGGAGGATGCAGTCACGCGGATTGGCGTTGCGCTGCGCGACTATGTGCAGAACTCCCCGCTTCAAGTCTACGCAGTTGCCTGTCGGATGGGCATGGAGGAGTTGGCGCGGGAGGCGGCTACTGTGCTCTTTACGCATTCAACGATCGCAGATGTGCCACAGATGGAGCAGATGTCCGCCGGCGCTCTTCATCGCCTCCTCCTGTATCGCGGCTCGGGGGTGCAAGGTTCTGCTAACAAGTTCACGTTCTGCCGTCCGGCCACATCTAATGTTTTCTGCCAACAATCGCGAACGCGCGTGGTCGCTCCTCTGTCCGCAGAACCCTTCACACATCCATATGCTGACGTCATTGTACTTTGTTTGGATGGTATTCGATTCCGCGTAATCAGCAGCATCCTCAAACTCGCATCTCCTGTCCTATCAAAGATGGTGAAGGAATCTCCGTCCGTTACCTTTGAGATGGAGTCAGGCACATTTCTGCCGCTCATCAAAGTGACAGAAACGAGTAGGACCATGCATGTGCTCTTGCAACTATGCTACCCTATGGAGGAGCCGCATGTGGACGGGTTTGATGCAGCGCATGCACTGCTTGCCGCTGTCAAGAAGTACCAGGTTACGTCGGCTATGAAGTGGGCAAAGCGGACGTGGGTGGAGTGCATCGGATCCAACGCGTTGCGGGCCTGTCTTCTTGCCATGCGGATGAAGTGGGAGGACGAGATGCGGGAGGCGGCGAGGCTTCTTCCCGTTCAAAAGTGTGACTGGTGCCCAGAGATGGAGGGCATACCCGCTTCACGCTATCGCATGATCCTTGAATGCCGATTGAAATGCCAAAAACACATCATGGATAAATTCGGTAACGGCTCTTACAACGCCTCCGAACTACCGGATTGGAGTAAGAGCATATCCTTGGATTTGGGACAATATGGCCTCCTCTATCAGCACCTGTGGTACCGGGCAAGACTGCCTGGGCCAACTCATGGCGAAGACGGAGCAGGGCCAGCTCGAGAAGTCACTTTGGCGGTGCCTGCCATAGAACGTGCCGGCATAAGAAAAGTCAATCAATTCTATCGTTACGATGACGACGACAGCCAGAATGATGCACTGCAACAGTTGGTCAAGTCGAGTGAAGAGCTGGAGCACGCATTTGCAGTCGTCCTCTCCGATGTATGTCCTGGCCATTAACCTTTTAGATATTTAGATAGTTTCGATTGATGCGCGATGCAGCTACAAGTACTCGACTAGAATATTCGCAGACAAGCGACGTCTGGTAAGGTTAAAGTGAGTGATCAGCCTGTTGCTTTTCTCGTAAGCTAACTGATATTTTGCTGTAGAGGGACGTGCTTTTGCTGTGAGAAGGTGTTGAGACCTGCAGCGGCATCGCCAATGATTCTGGAGCGCAGGTGTCAGTGTGCCCTCCCGAGACATTGATGAGCGCTGTCGGCTTGTTTGTTCTGATAATTGAATACGTGGGCATGTACGGACTTTGCTGATTCTACAGTGTGTTATTCGTTTGTTCTATGGGTGAAATCTACTGATGTGTCTGAGAGCAAGAACAATTTATGGACTGTCAGCAGCGCAAATCGGGACCAGCTGCACTCCCCTTCACCAAGGAAAATGCGAACATCATCCTCCAAACCGCAGATGGAGTCGATTCCTACTCGCGTAAGTCGGGGAACAAGCATTTCTGAGGACAAGTTCTCTAATTCAGAAGCGATAGCATTCAACGCGGCACAGGTCGATTCCGGAACCAACTTCCCGATCTTACATGTCTCACAAACGAGCGAAGCATTGGACAGACTGCTGCGTTTGTGCCACCCACTGCGGATCGTATTTTACGTAATGCTTGAAAAGGCGAGGAAAAACACCAGATGGATGTTGTGACCCGTAGAATGGGGCATTGTGCTGCGCGAGTATGTGCAGCGTTTTCTGCTAAATGTGTTTGCGAGGGAAGCAGCACTGTGCCGAAGACTCATCTTGCGTGAGCGCAGTGGCAGCTACCACATTCACGCGGACCTTACACATTGGAGTACTGGCATGTTGCAAGAATTACGCATCTCTGGTTGCAAACCGAGCTGAGTTGGAACTTACCATGGATGCAACGAGTCAGGGCTGCCAGGAGATGCTGCTTTGGTGGTTCCAGCCTTGAGTTGCTTGCTCATTCTCGTGACGACGACGGCGCTGACAAAGTCATGCAAACAATTCTCAGCTCGAGTTGAGAGCTAGAAGAGGCATTCACGAACGTCGTGCACCCAGGGTGCAACGTGAACGAGCAGTGCATTTCATGAGGCGCACGCTATGGCTGCAGTCTCCTACCATACAGCTGGCAGCACATATTTTTGTCATTCATACTTCTTGTGCT